AAATGTGGCTGATCAAGCCTATCAGGTTTTGTATTGGACTTATGTAAATGCCAGGTATTTCGTCTGAGAATACGGCCATTTAACTGCCGAATTAGATAAGACCTAGGAGCCGCTAGCTTTTCCACTACAGTCCCTTTGTACCAGTTACGGCCTCTCCAATATACAATTGGCTGACCGACAGTAAACTCCACAGGCTTCCGCCTGGCACGCCTGTCATGCTGATACTTTACTTTGTTTTGCAGGACCTGAGGAACCTTCCCCAGATCCACAACTCTTGGCTCAAGATTCTGTGATCTGGTAGGCACACAAGTGCGAACCATTCGACTCATCAGAATTTGTGATGGAGAGAATGCCATCCCTGTGAGAGGGGTATCATTATATTCTCTCAATCCATCCAGGTAATGTGTGCCAGTATCAGAACATTTCTTTAACAATTGTTTGGCTATATGCACCCCCTTTTCTGCTAACCCATTACTCCGTGGGTATTCAGGGGAGCTTGTGACAATGCTACTGCCTATGCTAGATGCATACTCTCTACACTCATACGAATCCAATGGATTGTTTTCTCCATAAATTATTTCAGGGATACCATGAGTGGAGAAGACCTCTCTCAGCACAGTTATGACAGAGCTACTAGATTTACTCGCGAGCCTCTTTATCTCCAGCCATTTAGAATAATTATCAACCACTACTAAGTATGGTTGGGCTCTAAATTCCAATATGTCTGCACCGACTTTCTGAAAGCGCAACTCAGGAATGGCATGCGGGATAAGAGGCTCTCTGTGATTTGCTGGACTATTGCGTTCACAAGTTCTACATTCTCCTAACAGAGTTTGTGTGTCATTTGTAGTGCCTGGCCAGTAGACAGTCTGTCTAGCTCGAGTCTTAGTCTTGTCAATCCCCAGATGAGCAAGATGAAGTGCTTTAAGCACTTTAGGTCTGAGTGAGGGAGGCACAACGACCTTCTCCTCAAGTATGACCAAACCATCTTCGACGAATAGGTCATCTTTCAATTTAGAGTATGGCATAGCTTCCTGAGGGATTTTCGCTTTGTCACACGGCCAACCCTTTTGATAATATTGGACCACTAACTGTAAACCTTTATCTTTGCCTGTTTGCAGCCATCACCTCGGGGGAGATTGATATATTGGATGTCACTTCGTGAACAACCTCAACCATCTCAGGGTCATCATCAACAGGATCCTCAATGTAGTTTCGTGACAACAGATCAGCAAGGTACATGTACTTTCCAGGCAAATATTCTACCTTAGGAGTGTACATCAGTATCTTTAATCGCATTTTCTTTAGCCTGTTATTTGTTATTTTATGTACTGGTTTCTGAAATATAGACACCAGAGGCTGATGATCTGTTTGAAACTTTACATTGGGCATTCCATTAATAAAGGATTTTAATTTCTGTGCAGCATATACTAATGCCAGCATCATTTTCTACTTGAGCATAATTGCACTCACTGTCCGTTAGTTTCCTAGAGGCACTTGACACCAGCTGGTTATCCTGAAGGAGGACTGCTCCCAGACCAGACTGGCTCGAGTCTGCCTGAACTACCAAGGCCTTTGTGTGGTCAAAAGGCACCAACACAGGGGCATTGCTCACGCAATCTTTCAACTTTTGGAATGCTACATCATGGACAGGTAACCATTGAAACGTTACCCCCGACGACAGCAAGTCACAGAGAGGGGCTGAGATAGTACCCATCTGAGGTATGAACTTCCTCAAGTGGTTGAACACCCCACAGACTCTCTGTAACATGTGTTTACTTTGAGGAGGCTTTATAGCCTGTATAGCAGCTGTTCTACTTGGGTCTATCCTTATCTTATTCTCAGCCCATAACAGCCCTAAAAACATAACTTCTGTCTGCCTAAACTGAATCTTATTTGGATTGAATTTCACATTTTCAGACCTGGCTTTCGCCAGCACCCTACTCATGATGAGATCATGTTCCTGGACATCTTTGCCCGCTACCAGAACATCATCAAAATATACTCGTGCTCCTGTATCTCCAAAGACCTGACCAGTCAGGTATTGGAACAGCTCAGGTGCACAGCTTAGCCCGAAAGGCATCCTTTTGAATTTGTAAATACCAAAAGGAGTGGCAAAGGAACACAGAAGACTAGATTCGTCATCC